GTTTAATGAAGAGAGAGTTGGGGGGAACCGAAGTGTGCTCAGAGGAGACCTTTGCTTTATGAACAAAACCAATAAGTAGGATTTGAAGTCATGGAAATAAAGCAGAATCTGCGTCAGGAAGGGGAAGGAAGCTCTTGAGTCACTTCCCAGAGGTTGTGGGGGACTCCACCACTGTCCAGTTTGAAATCAAATGGGATGTTTCCCATAGACACTTCAACTCGAGCACAGCTCCTGCGCTGGAAGGGGGAGCATCCCTGCCCGGCAGCCCATGTTTTATGCAGGAGGTCAAACTAAACTATCCCAGGGATCCCCTCTGCGCTTAAAAAAATCCACGTAGTTTTCTGCCAGCTGGGTTTTTTTTGGTGTAACGTGCTCGTGCCGGGCTCCCGCTGGTACCTGGACTCCTGACCTAACGTCACACAGAAAAACGAGGCTCGCTGGGAGCGCAGAGATTTCTGTCTTCTGCTTTATAGCCTGGGCGATGGCCAGAGAGATCATGACTCAACGTGTTCATATGGTAGAAAACGGGCCCCAGGGGGGTTGCTTTGGACACTGGTGGTGATTATTAGCACTCCCACGTTAGCCGTCTGTCCTAGGATGCGCGTTAACGTACGGAGCCGGCACAGGGAGGGAAGTGCCTCTGCCCAGCTCTGTTCCACAGCAGTGATGGAGCTGCTCTGATCAGCCATTTCCCCTCTCATCGCTCCATATTTTTAAGATCTGCTGTTTCAGGGAGATCAAACCCCACTATTTTCCTTCCTTGCAGCAGTAATTCTGCTGAGGACAGGCAAAACCCTGGGGTGGGAGGGACAGGACGTGACCCACAGGCAGGGATTTCACAGAAATCACTGCACGCCTCTCTCTGCAATGACTCTTTCTTTAAACAACGTTTACCAGAGGAAAAAAATCAACAAGAAATTATTTTCCCCTTTCTGAATCGTCACTTGCTTTGCAAACACGACACACACCTTAGCAGAAAAGCATCCAGAGTTCCTCAAAACAGGGGCCAGGTTTACTAGAGGTCCCTGGATAGGAGTAAAGTGGTTAAAATGAGTTTTTTTTAACCAATTTTTAACTGATGCTTGGTGTTACAATCCCAACAGATCAGACTCCGACCCCAACTAGGTTCTTGAAGAACTGCGAAGAAGTGGGACTCTTCAATGAACTGGCCAGTTCCTTTGAGCACGAGTTCAAGAAAGCTGCGGAGGATGATGAGAAAAAGGCAAGAGGCAAAGGCCACCGGTGCCGTAAAACGGAGCCGGGCGCGTGTCGTGGGGGCTGGAGGAGGGGCTGGTGCTGTTCTGCTGAAAGGCACACGGAGGGTAACCAAGGGTGGTCTCCAATTTAATATGCTGGCTTACACGGGACTTTATTTTTTTAACTGGGGTGACTTTGGCTGGGTATCCTGCAATGCAGGGCCTGGTGAGAGCAGATTTTAATGGTTTATTATTCCTTTAGCTTTTCATTTCAAAAAAAAAAGAAAAAAGAAAAGAAAAAAAGGGAGTACCCAAAATACCTCGCACCTTGGGAAGGAGATGCAGGAAAAGAGCAGGACTCTGTTTAAAGTGCTCAGGATCTGAGCAAAAATTCACTCAGAGCCTCCTTAGGGATCAGGATCTTTAAGGATGGTGCCTTTAAGGTGCAATCGGGGAAGGGACTGAGCTCAGCCGTGTGCCTTCAGCAGCTGAACGGTGTCACCGTGCGTACAGATGAGGAGAGGGGCTCCGTGGAGGAGCGGGGCTGGTCTAACAAAGAGCTCCCTCGTACGCGAGCGCTATCGATTCAGGCTGCCCCTGCCAACCTCCGAAGCACAAGGGTCTGAAGGACGAGGGGATCTCGTCAGATAGCAGCTAATTAAGGATATTTTCCCCCTCCTTTGCAGGATCTGAGGAGCAGCAGATGCGTATTGGGCTCTTAGGCTGGCACATACATTTACTAAATTGATATATGGACGCACATACGCTCGTAGTCAGCGGCGCTGCTCGGAAATAAACTGCGGGAGCACAGCCGCGTAAATCTTCACCGAGATGGGGAACGGAGGAATTCAGAATTAAAACTGAAAACTGTCTTTCACCCGCTCTCCTAATAACAGGGCTCTTTAAAGCATAAATTGATCTCTCTCATTGGTATGCTGCAGGCTCTGGTAGCATTTTATGCTCGGAATTCTCTGCCTTTTGTTCTCTGCAGCCCAGAGCCTGAGCAAGCGCTGGGAAAAGGTAGATTTTCGTTTGTGGTTTCACATCGAGATGGTTGAGCAGCCCACAGTCTAGCCAGTCATTTTCTACACAAGACCACCCATCTCCTGGGCTGCACTACCTCATAGCTGCAGCTAAAATCCTTGGGCTCTTCGATGGTTTCCTTTTTTTTTTTTGGCTTTAGGATGACTGCAGTCTAAATATTTCCACCAGCAACCGGGCGAATGAGGTGGAGCGAAGCTTGGGGTGATTTCAGGCGTTAGGAAAAGCATAATCCCTCCTAAAAAAGAAAAAGAAATCTCTGCACAGGCGAGGTCCCTGGCCCAGATGGCTTGTCACTCACCAAGCCTGGCCAGAGCTGCCTGCTGCATTTCTGAGATGCTTTCAACATTTGGCCGCATCTCATCGAGCCCAGTCGCTGCTGTTGTGTTTTGTCCTCCAGTTCCAAGGGTGGTCTCCACACCAGCATGTTAATTAAAAACATAGACACAGCAGGGACTTCCCTGGAGGCATTTTAAGTGGTTTGAAACTTTCCTGCATGTTAATCCCTTCTCCCTTTGTGATTCCCAACGAAACGTTTCTGCTTAAGAGGGCAGGTAAATGGTTACTGCACCTACCGCAAGCAAAGCCCCCCCCTCCTCTGGTAAATCAGCGCAGAGCCGGAGCAGGATCCCCAGGTGCCCGGATTTACCCTCTTGCCGCAATTTTCCCCTCCCTTGAGAGGACTTAAAATGCAGCAAAAGGAGGAGGTTCAGGTTAGATGACAGGACAAACTGTCAGCAGTGGGGCGAGCGAAGGAAAACGCCGGGATTGATGGTGGAGGGAGGGGAGAGCAGGTTGGACAAACAGCCGTCAGGACTGATTTAGGGAGAGTTTCTCCTGCCCGGGACGGAGGGAGGAACCGAGTGATTTGCAAGGTCTATTGGAGCCCAATCGAATGCAGCATCCTGCAGTCACAGTCTGGCTCCTCCGCTGTTCCCAAACGCCATCTTCTCCCAAGTCTTCTCTTCTTCCAGGTCTGGGAAGGGGAGAGGTGGCCTCTCAGCTTAGTTCCCCTCCTACCTTGTTGTCACCCTGTCCTTTTCCTTGTCCCCAGCAAGTTGTTAACTGGTTAAAAGGGGGCACGTGGCACTGCTGGAACCCAGGGTGGTGGCAAGTTGCCAGGTTCAGGCATATGGTTGGGTTTTATTTTAATGGGGCGCTCATAGATATTTAATAACTTGCATGGCTCTTTGTTTGCTTTTGATAATCGGGTAATAAAATAATTCAGGCTGATTTATACAATGCTTTACAGCTCTTCTGCGAATGAAAGTGCCTTCTGTAACTCGCAGGCATTTGGCTTTGTTACCTGTTCTCCTTAGCAGAGCCTTTTTATGAAAAAAAAAACCAAAAACCCAAAAGCCCTAACTCATGGAAAGAATTGTGTGTGTTTTACTGAGAAACCACAAAATGGTGCCATCTGGGGCAGAAACTGGCTTTCCTGGGCCTCTGACTCTGTTTGGACGGGGCCGGCGCGGCATCGCTCTCCGCCTCGGGCTCCCAGATGCTACTTCAGTACAAATAAATAATAATAATTTGGCAAGAGCTCAGAGCTGTAGCTCTTCCTCCTCTGGGAGCAGCTGAATGTTTCACAAACAATATGAGCTAATTGTCCTTTCAATCCATGACTGGTTTTCCTGTAGAATGCCGGAGCCCTGGACATGTCTCTGCCCTCCACCCCAGACATCAAGATAAAGGAGGAAGAACCGGTGGAGGTGGATTCGTCGCCGCCGGACAGCCCTGCCTCTAACCCGCGGTCACCACAGAACAAGGAGAAGGTAGGTCTGTCCCCCTACCTGTGCCCTGTGGAGATGTTAGTCTCTCCTTTGATGAGAACAAGATTTTTCTCCACTTGGGTGCCAAGGCTTGATTTGGGCTTGGTTCCTCTCGTTTGAGATAGAAATAAAAACTTATTTGGTAAAATACACATCTGCTGCCCTCAAGTCTCCACGTGGATTTGACTAGTGCAGAAAGCCTGGCTCGTCACCCTGGGAAGGCTTTTCTGGCAGAGCAAAAGTGCCACACGTGTCACACATCTTCTCCAAGACCAGCTCCCTGTGTCCTGGTGGGGCTGGCTGGTGATTCAGAGCAGACTAGTCCAGGTGACACAGTCTCCATCTGAGGAACTTCCCGCTCTGGAGACACTGGCTGGGGCTGGACCGGTAATTCAGACAGGGAGATGATCTGCCAGAGGCTGCTGCAGGTAGCAGGAGTCTGAATTTCTGTGCCCCGTTCACTGCAGTGACATCAAGTCAGGGTGGCTTTGGTTGAGTCATTCCCCTCCGTGCCTCAGTTTCTGTGATGAAAGTGCCTTAATTTTCCATAAATTGCTTTTAAGCCATCGGAAGGAAAAGCCAACCGGGTGATTATTAACCTAACAATTAAAAACATGTCTCCTTTTGTCTGTTGATCCTCTTTAGGAGATCACCTCCAAGCCTGTTATCATTTCTACGCCTACTCCAACCATCGTACGTCCCGGCTCGCTGCCGCTACACTTGGGTTACGACCCTCTCCACCCTACTCTGCCTTCCCCAACCTCTGTCATTACCCAGGCTCCCCCTTCCAACAGGCAGCTTGGGTAAGTACGGAGGAGGAACACGTGCGCTGAGGTTTTTCTCCCGTACCGTCAAGCTTCCTGGGCAGTAATTAGGTAACTAAATAAGTTCCTTGATTGTCAGAACAACTGAGGTGCCACAATTCCCGCTGCGGCTGCTTGGGCATAAAGACCTCGTTGCAGTACTGTCTACAAAAGCAGAATGGGGTGTAAGTGCAGAAAGCGGGAACTAATTGTCGTAGTTTAACGAAACGAGGCGAAACTCACCGCGGGGAGAAATTAAACCCAGTCCCCAAACACTGTTGACATGACACTCGCTGCCGACGGTGGGAGCGTGGCCTGACTGGGGACTCCCCAAGTTGCTTTTGCAGCTTGATGCGGTGGAAAGCACCGGGCTAAAGCGGCGGTAGGAAAATCGTCTGGATCTTTAATGGCTTTGGGGATTTTCTCAGACAGCTGTTGCCTCTGAAGTGTAACCTCTTCTGCAACCTGCTGGTCTCCTTCATGGTCAGCTTCTGCCTCGGGAGCTGTTTGTTTCAGCAGATCTAATGACCTGCTCCGTTTTGCTTCTGGATCGCAGGCTCCAGAGCGCTGGCTGCGGCGCTTATGAGTCTGCCACGCTGGTAGGTAGCTCCAGCCCTGCACATAAAAGGAAGGAGCCTGAAGGATGCAGGAAACACATTACAATGAGCCCTCAGGAGACATATATTTAGCCCTATATCTATTCTTTGGTGTCAGGATGCTGCTTTTTTGCTGTGGTCCTGGCCTCTTTCTAATTACCCTTGTTTGAGGCTGGCTCCTTACATTAACCAAGCCATTTTTTTTTCAGCTGTCACTTCATATTTTTGTGTTGTGTTTTTACTTTGACCCTCTGGCACCATCAATCCAGACTTCCTGACGGAAAGTTTTAAATCCTGTCTTAAGGCATTAAGGGGTTAAGTGATTGTCCTGGGGTTTTGAAAGGGCATTATATTCCTTCTGTAACCCAGCACGGGCAGAGACTCGCAAGGGCTGTTTGGAACTGAGTCCGCTCGCGCTTGGAGGCACGAAAACATCAGAGCTGGAGTAAACTAGACTTTAATATGATTTTATTTGCCCTTTGCAGCCCACGGAGGTAGATCCCTCCTAGGACATAGAGAGTTGGACACACTCTTAGGTCGGGCTGCAGCTTTAACGAGGGTCCCTGCGTTAGGGCCGCTGTGGACGCGGTGGGGTTGTTGTCGTGACAGAGATGGAGGGGAGGCTGTGACCTCTCTGTAACTCAGCGTGTTAGGCTGGGATTTTCAAAGCAGCCTTGGAGGATTTGGGTTGCCCAATAGAAATGAATGAGAGCCGAGCGTTCGCGTTCCCAAGGCAGCTTTAAAAATTCCAGCCTGAGTTATTGGCGCGATGAACTCCCCCCTCTGACCCACGTCCCCTTCTTCTCTCCACTCTGCCATTACTCCATGCCAGCACAGCTTCCTCCAAGGATCCCAGGCAGCCCAGCCTCCTCCATCCCCTACCCTGGGCTCGGCAAAGGAGGCGGCAACGAATATTTTCTCTCCCTCCCCTAAAGTCAGGCTCCCAGCAGCTCTGCTCTTCTCTTCCTGGCTCGTCTCTGCCTCCATTCGGTTCCCTGCTGCGCTGTTGTGAGCTGAGGAGGAGCAGGAGATCAGCCCTTGCTGGCAGGGACGATTTCCTTCCTCTCCCATCGGCTGGAGTGGATCAGCTCCGGCTTTTCCTCAGCTCTCCTAGAAAGGCTGAGTCTGGAGGGTCAGAGCCAGAGCATGGTGAGGTTTGTGACACTCTGAAATGGAGGCAGGAGTGTGTGAACTGCTGCCTTTCGCTGCAAAGTGATCTGCGATGGGAAAAGCTTTTGGTGTTTTTAATTTGTCACAATTAGGCTCCGGTGCGATCGCCTCCTCCCCCAGCTTGCAGCGAGCAGGGCCGTTCCTGTCTCCCAGAGCCCTTGTCTGGGCAGACACAAGCCCTTGTCTGGGCAGACACAAGCCAGCCCTGCATCAAACTCCATATTTAGGAGGTTTTTGCTGGAGTCAGTGTCAGAAGTGTTTGTTAATGGAAAGCTAAATCCTTGCAAACCCTCTCGTAGGAGCTTGGCAGTCGTGGCTCACAGGCCAAGAAGTTACAGGCAAAAGCAGCTGCCCAGTTCCCCCACCTGCCCGGGAGGACACATTCAACCTCCCCATTGAGGAGTAGCAGCAACCCTTGGATGTTCTTTTCTGGCTGTTCAAATGGACACCATATCTTGGGGCTGTGGTGTTTTGGCTGGACGTTTGCCCAGGAGTTGACCATCATAACACTGGCCATCAGCGTCACTGCCAGCCCCCAGCGAGGAGCAGTAGCCTGGGCTACCTCGGCGTGGTGTTGGCACATGCTGGCTACCATGTAGTGAGTGTGCCAGAGGCTGAGTGACCTTAACACGTGCTCAGCTGGGCTTTGCACCCACTCATTCAGAACTCATTTCCCAGAAATGGGAAAAGGACCCTAAATCCACTGACTAGAATTAATTGAATTAATTTGTGCTTCTGCCCTCGAGCTCGTTTTGCTGCTGGGACAGCATGAACTTGAAATTATCCATGAGAACTTGAACTGGAACAGGCTGCCCAGGGAAGCGGTGGAGTCACCAACCCTGGAAGCATTCAAGAAACGTGTAGATGTAGCACTCAGGGATGTGGTTTGATGGGCATAGTGGTGATGAGTTGATGGTTGGACCGGTTGGATCTTAGAGGTCTTTTCCAACCTTAATGACTCTGTGATTCTCCAGGTCTCCCACAGGTTCCCTTCCACTCGTCGTGCAGCTTGCGAACGGACAGACCATGCCCGTCCTGCCAGGCCCTCCCGTGCAGATGCCTTCTGTTATATCGGTAAGAGAAGCTTCCCACACAGCTCTGCACGACACAGGAGGGGACGCTGGTTTTTTCCTCTGCCAAATATACCCATTTTCTAAAAATTAAAATATATCTCCCCCTCTGTGTGAGATCAGACTGGATGAGGAGGAGGAGGAGGAGGAGGAGGAGCAGGGCCACCCCCCAATAGGTAGTAATAACGTGTCGATTGCACTAGAGGGCAGTGAGTCTGGAGAAAAACAAAGCCTTGCCTGGACAGATGGCTCACGCCATTGATCCGGGGCTGGGAACTGTAGGATCCCTGATTAGCTGCTTCCATTTGGAACGACGTGCCTCAATTGAAACCATTCGAGCTTGCAGAGAACATGTTGGTCTTTGCAGGCCAGGAAAGCCACCCTCACCTCGCCAACGTGCTAAAGAGCTGTCTGAACGTCAGCCTTGCAGGTTGGGCTCTTTGCACGCGGAGGATTTTCCGTGGTGCAGAACTCAACGAGCAGATTGACCCAGGGGGTGGTTTGTGCATCTACCGAGCGCTTCAGCTCCCCATCAGGAAGCCCTTGCAAATCCTGTCTGTCCTGCTAGGCATGTCTTTTGGGTTTTGAGTGAGTAACAACCAAATCCTTCTGCCTCAGGTAACGGGAATGTTGATGTCAGGGTAGGCAGACACGCAGGCAGGTCGGCATAGCTTGTGGGCATGGAAACATCCTCACACCTTGCTGCTGGTTTGAACCGTGCCGTGTGTTTGCAGTGCTTTGCGATAGGCTACCTGAGCAGCTTAGAAAAGGAAACACAAATTCTGTGTTTTTTCCCCTCTTTGATGAGGGAGAAATCTCTCCATGTTTAGGAGAGGACTTACCCGTGGGTGTTGTGGCAGCTTTGCGATAGAGCTGGGCAGAGAACCTGAGGGCATCTCATACCTTCCCTCTCCATCTGCTCTCCCATACTGGTGGGGAAAAGCCCTCTGGGAGGGAAGGGAAGGGAAGGAGAGAGGCTGCCCCTCCTTCCTGTCCTCAGCACTAGGGTAGTATGGCTGGGTGACTCCAAAACAGCCACCGTGGCCACCAAAGTTGTGGCTGCTGGCCTTCAGTGACAGCAGGCGTAATGGATGGCGGCGGTTAAACGCTGAACGTTTGTCAGGGTTTATAAATGTGCTTGTGTTGGGGAATTATTACCGAGCCGCTTCGCAGAGCACGCTTGTGAAAGCACCTCAGCTTCCAAAACCCGTGTGTTGCTTCCTCCCCCGTAGCTGGCTCGGCCGATGTCCATGGTGCCGAACATTCCCGGTATTCCTGGGCCGCCCATCAACAGCAGCGGGTCCATCTCACCATCAGGACTTCCAGTGCACTCTGAAGCCAAAATGGTAAGTGTCCAAATACCCGCCGGCGCGGGGGTCACATCCACGCTGTTGTCCCTAAGTCTTCACTAACTCTTCCAGAAGAGACTTTTTCTTGAGGCTTTTTCTCTGCTGCCTTCTGCTTCTCCATAAATCCTGCTCTGCGCTTCCCCGCGCCGAGAGCAGGTGTTGCAAATGCCACCAGGAATATTGGACTCATCAGCGCTGCGGCTCTGGCAGGCAGAGCAGGCACACGCTATTGTTGAGACAAACCTCAGCCTCATCCTAAACCAGACTGTTTTGTAAAGCTGGTGCTTCTAGTTCCAAGATAACAGATGGGTTGGAGGTGGATTTGAGGAAGGCAGAGCCAAGAGAAGAGATGTTGTACTGTAATCCAAGGATCCTGGTCGTGGTTTTCATGTAGACCTCTTTAACTAAAAGTTTATGAAAGAATTTCCCTCTCTCCTGGCTCTTCGTGGCTCAGAATAGGTGCGGAGATGGGAAACAAACCAAAGTTTGTGAACAAAGAACAGCAAAACCCCTTGTTCTTTTGTCTGAGATGAGGTGGACACGTTTGCAAACCCTCTCCTTGCACCATTGCTGGTACGTTGTCTTGACGGTCTTGATCACGTGTAGGTCCTTGTCCATCCCAGAAGGACCCTCTGTGGGTGCTGGAGGACAGTTGGGCTCTGCAGCCTGTTCAGCCCCTGGTCTTTCCGCAGAGCCTCCCACCAGCTGGGGAGCGGGTCAGTGCCAGTCCCAGTAGTGATTTTGGGGTGGGGACACCTGTCCACTTGGACCTGAGTTAGAAGCCGCTGCCTGTCTTTGGGTGGACCAGATGGTGATGGCTTTTGGTTGGATTTGAATCAGCCGCGGTCCTTGAAGAGCCTGTTCCCCTCATGGCTTGGCTCCTTGGATGACAGAGAAGCTGGTTGAAGCCTTACCAGCATGGAGAACAGCTCCACTGACGTCCTTTTTTCTCCTTTCACAGAGGCTGAAGGCCAGCTTGACAGCATCTTCCTCACTGAACGGCAGCAACCTGATGGTGGGCTCAGCCAGCACAATGGTGACCGCACGTCCAGAGCAGAGTCAGATACTTGTCCAGCACCCTGATGCTCCTTCCCCAGCTCAACCACAGGTCTGGAGGTGGAGGGGGTTTCTGGTCCTCGGGGGGGAAAAAAGAGAAAAACCTTTTGGCTTTCTGGTTTGCAGAATGAGTTAAAAACCTTGGGTTTTTTTGGTGCTGTTTCAGCACTCTTGCTCTCTCAAAAACACCACCAGGCAGAAAACTTCAGCAACACGTTCATTTACTTGACAAGGTCTGGAGTTTTGAAAGAATATTTTGCTCTTTTCCCTGCTCAATTACTGGGGTTAAACGCTCCCCTCTTAGGCAATCAACTGCACCAACTCCTGCCAGCTCACCGAATGCCAGCCTTCCATCACCATCGCCACCTGCTCTGTCAGTTAGATGGGCTTCCAAAAGTTTAATATCCATATGCTGCCTGACAGCGAGTGCCGAGGTGGAACTGCCCTCCCCGATGGTGAAGGTGGGATGACAGAGCCCTCGCAGGGACGCTGGTGAGGTTTTGGCTGCAGGACCTTCTGCCCTCGCTGACTTTCCCTTTGTTCTCTCGAAATAAAACCGGGAAACGCTCAACCTTCCGCAGATCTTTTTGTGCCGGTGCCTCTGAGAGTTTGTTTACAAAGACATTCAGGGAAAAAATTTCACCTGAATTAATTTTTCATGCAAATTGCTCACTCGAAAAGTGTAATTTGTGCTCCGTGAGCGTGAGTTACTGAACCCAGGTGGAGGCGACGCTTCGGCCGCGCGCGGTTACGTGAGTCAGAGCGGGATCCAGCGCTCCCAACCCTGCCCCTGGAAGTTGCCCTCCATCAGCTGATGGTCCTGACAGGAACTTGCTCCAGTGTGGGCTTCCCACGGGGTCACAGCCTCCTTCAGGCCTCCACCTGCTCTGGTGTGGGGTCCTCCATGGGCTACAGGTGGTCATCTGCTCCACCATGGATCTCCATGGGTTGCAGGGGGACATCTGCCTCACCATGGTCTTCACCACAGGCTGCAGGGGAATCTCTGCTCCGGCGCCTGGAGCACCTCCT